TCTTCAAGATCTTGTTTTTGTCACCTTACGCCTTTTAATAGAGATAGGAACATTGACAGGGAAATAGATTTGAACGAAGAAGTTTCGTAAAGAGCGCGAACGGTAGTGTGATGTAAAATTACTCATGCTATAAATTTTCATAACAGTGACCCGAAATACTGCGCTAACTCGGTAACTCGTGGTCCGATGAAGTTTCGTAAAGAGCGCGAACGGTAGTGTGAATGATTTTTTGATTGAGAAAATAAGCAAACAAACAAACAATCTCAAAGTTTTAGTAGTGTATAGATAGATAGATTCTTCAAGATCTTGTTTTTGTCATCTTACGCCTTTTAATGAAGATGGGAACATTGACAGGGAAATATTATAATAGCCAATGCTCGGCGAGAGGATTTGTTTATAAAAAATTGTTGTTGTTCTCGACTTGATTTTTATTTTATTACCTCATCTCCATAGTTACTATTTCCAAATAGTCAATAATATTGTAGGTCTATTTCATTGTTGTTCTTTCTTCGCGCCATTATAACACATTTTCATCTCATCATTTAATTTCTGTTGTGCATGTATTGTTGTATAGAAGATATTTTAAAGTGATTCATCAGGTGGAAAACGAATAGATAGATAGATAAATAAACCGATATGTATCGCCATCTAGTGTGCCTAAATTCATCTAGAACTTTCATAAAAGTGACCAGAAAAACAGGACTAACTCAGTAACCCGTGGCCCGATTTTAACGAAACTTGTTTTATTCTGTTTCTATTCTCATTTCATTACATATATGGAGGTAGTGTGCGCCGTTTTTGCTGTATTTAATTGCAGACAAGCAAACAAACAATCTCAGAATTTTAGTAGTATATAGATAGATCGTTAGGCTTTCTTGATTGTGTAATTTTTTTATACTTTTCAGACATTTTAAAGCTGATTAATTTACCATATGCACTTTAGAAGTATACCTGATAAGACATCGCCGAGCCGACACATCTAAATCTCACTAAGACTAGCATGAGAATAAAATGAAGCTAAGTTTACAAGATATGTGAAATTGTACTTTCCTCGTTATATTAAACTGAGTTTACAACACACGTGACATTGTGCTTTACTCAATATATCAAGCTAAGTTTACAATATATATATGAGATTGTGCTTTTCTCAATGTGTCAACCTAATTTAACAACTCGCATGACATTGTGCTTTCCTCAATATTATGTTGTCACGCGGTAGGAAGCACTACTAAAAGGTATCCTGACGATTATCTGACACTAGACTTCTTGTCTTGATCACTAGAGTGCAGCGACATCAGCTAAAATATAATTAAACAAACGCTAGTGTGTATGAATAAAAGTAATTCATTTATAGATTAGTTACTAATCATACAGACTTTATAATACACCAGCCTATCACAGAGTATTGAGTACCCCAATTATGAATGTTTTTATTTTTCCAGTAATTTTTAAATATTTTACAGTTTATGCCAATAAATATTAGTAATCTAATTTTCTTATTTTGTGTCTTGGTGGATTTTACACTCATTAATGTTTTATAATGAGCTTCGTAAGTTAAACCCAACATTATTAGATAATAAATACAAAATCGCCAAATTCTATATTTCACTATATACTCTGGATCCAGTATAATTATAAATATTATTATAATACCTTTTTCTAAAAAAATAAAATGTACAAATAACCATCTGTATTTGAATTATACAAAAAATGCATAACTTTCTGAAGTACGTGTTTTTATGTTTCATGGTTTTATGCATATAGATAAGAAACATGAAAAATACCCGAACCATGGTGGTTTATGAGGATTCATTAATTTTTAAATGATTTTTTCTTTTATGCAACCTTAGCAACTGCTTTATGTCCACATTTCAGAACAATAGTATATAAATAACCTTAGCAAGTTGATGATCTTGGTGTTAAAATAAATAAATAATTTGATGCTAATAAATATCATAAACTAATTCTGAGCTGTAATGACTTATGTATCTATAATAATAAAACGGCGTGTCTGTGGGTCTGTGTGTATGTATGTGTGACTGCCATAACTCAAAGATGAAAGAACCTAGAAACCTAAAATTTTGTATCCAAACTAAGTGGACCCTGAGGGTTTCCAACTGAGTTTTATTACTTAGGCACCTGCATGCACGCATGGACGTGCACTTCTTTTTAACGAGGCAAGCTAGCGAAAACCCACATAGAAAAGAAGTGGTTCCTTATATAACAACTTCTAATATACAGAGGAGCAAGTTCATTTTAGTAACAATGTGTTCCAGCAATGGCTTTTATATCATGTTGCTTAGCAATAACAATATAACCTAATATTTTTGTTAAGGGGCTATGTGCTGAAAGTATAAAATGAAATGTATAAGCTACAAAGTTGAAAACAAATATTTGTTGTTTTCTTATTTAGAAGCTCCGTTAATCAAAGAGGTTTGTTTTGTATTATTTGTTTTTAATGTTTAAATTTAAAATTCGAGGACAAATTAGAGGGAAGGTTACCTTTATAAACAGGCCACACCCCGTAAAGGAGCAACAAAAGTATATAGGTTATACTTTTAAGCTAGAATGGGTTCAGAAGACACATACTGACATAGTCATCTAGAATATATCAACCTAATAACCTGAGCGAAGTCGGGTACTTTCGCTAGTCTATAATAATAAAAGAGTGTGTCTGTATGTGTGTGACCACCATATCTCCAAGAGGAAAAAACCTAGAAACCTAAAATTTAGCACCCATACTTAGTGGACTCTGAAGGTGTACACCTTGGTATACACCAATGCACTCATCCACGTGCATGCACGTGCACATCTTTTTATTGAGGCAAGCTAGCGAAAAACCACTTAGTAAAGAAGTGGTTCCTTATAATACAAATAGAAATCACAGACACAGACACATCGTTAATGCGCGCCACATATGCACATGCGCATGTGGGTGTCTGTGTGTATGTGACCACCATAGCTCCATGACGAAAGAACCTAGAAACCTGAAAAAAAAATATTTTGCACCTATACCAAGTGGATCCTGAGGGTGTACACCTGGGTACTACTTAATATTATCAAATTTTGCACCCATACTAAGTGGACCTTGAAGGTATGCGCCTGGGTATTATTATTATTTATCTATGTGCGTGCGCGCATGCACTTGCGTACTTTTTATTGAGGAAAGCTAGCGAAAAACCGCATAGAAAAGAATTGATTCCTTATATTACAAATAGAAATCACAGACAGACAGACACGGACGTACGTGTGTGCACGCATGCGTAATATTCTTAATGACGCAAGCTAATCGCATAGAAAAGAAGTGGTTCCTTCTAATATATAGAAAAGCCAGTGCATTTTGGTAACAATGCATTCCAACATTGGCTTTTATGTCATGTTGCTTAGAAACAAAAGTATAGCCTAATATTGTTGTTAGTCTATGTACTGAAAGTATAAAATGAAATGTATATATGTAAGTGATTTCTATTTGTGACATAATCGTC